GGTCATATCTTCAGGTTTAGAATGATGTTATGAATGTTAGCAGTTACCAGGCTTTCAATTATTACCCTTTTATTACATCAATAAAATAGAGTTCTAGTATTTCTTGTTGTGTGTTTCCTGACATGGTCTACATTTAAGGATTGATAGTACCACCCATGATACAATATGTCTTTTCTAATGGAGGCTACAAACAACCTGGAACCAGTTGCTAGAGTACATGAGGAGAAGATGTCTTTTGTGTTTTGCTTGTGGATTTCCTAGGGGAACTGGGGTACAGAATGCTTTCGACTTGAACCAGCAAAGATCTTGTATTCTCAATTCTGACATTAACCCATTTTCCGTAACATTGAAGTAAAGTATGGAACCACAGCTGGCCTTTGGAGCCAGTTTAATGTCAGCATTCCAAATGACTCTAAAGTTGAGGTGTTACTTGGTGATATAAAGTTGCATAATAAACTTGGAAAAAGGTAGAAGAAAGGACAAGAACAGCCTGTCCATATGAAAACAATAATCGTGTAATATTTATTGGCTGGCAGTTAAGTGCTTCAAACATTCTGAGTAGTAAAATGTTAGGAAAAACTAGACTTCCTGATATAAAGACTAAAAATATTTTTGGTTCCTCAAGCAGAAAAAAAAAACAGTGATATTTTATGATAAACAAAAAAATATTAATGAAATAAATTTCTAACTTAAAGTAGTATAAAACCCCCAGAGGGCACAATAGACTTGCCTTTGGGAGTCTGAAGGAAGCTCATGGTAGCCAAATACACAATCTGTGTATAATAAAATGTAAGGAAGTCTCAACTATAATTTCAGCAAGCACTGAGGCATTTCTTCAACATCTAGGTTTGGCAATATTTTCCCCAATATACAACAACTATAAATATATTAAATGTTGCCCTCCCAGCACAAACCAGGACATTGTTTAACGTTATTTGATCTCTTGGTTTTTCTAATGATTGTATTACATTTTCTTTCAAAGTGCACATTTCAATTTTTTATAGCTCTTTAATATCAGAAGAGTCTCGAATCTTCATAAAAAGGGCAGGAATCATCATACTTTGGATAATCTTCAAATAATAATTGTATATACATTATCTGAGTCTAGCAAGTTTAGGCCAACATTTAAAATCGTGCACTTATCCTGTTAAAAAGAAAAGAAGAACAGGTTTTCTAAAACTAAAAGTGAAGCTTGAATTGGAATTTATATATTATTATTAAAGATTCGATATGGATAATGTTAACCTTTGGAGAAATGCATGTCAAAATTCTCTACAGGTATTCTCTTCCAATTAAATATTGAGGCAAGGAATAAGAAAACAATTACAATACATGACTATAACAATTCATAGATCAGTATCAATATCAGTAATATCAATTATGCCAGCAATGAGAAACTTGAATGAATGTAGTGGACTTCATTTTTCAGAAAGGTTTCCACAATCTTTATCACACAATTGGTTCAGTCCTAGATATGTGAGATAACTTGAAAAGTATTGAATAAAACATATCTCAACAATAATTTAAAAAGATGCTTAGTTTTTTCTAAAGCAATGCTATGTATATATCATAAATCCAATATATATTGCATCATATTCCTCTTGATGTTTCTTGATTGACTAATAATTCAAAAAGTTGCAATGAAATTTTTAATTACAAATAAAACTAAGCCAAATTTTGAACATATTTTAGGAGTCTTTATTAATGCAAATTGCTCCCTAAAACTGAGCGGTCTACATCAGCAATAGCTGTGGACTGCCTGTGTTTGTGTGCGCGCACACTGCAATCTGTACACTGATGTGTTACTTAACTATAAAATTGTCATGAAGTAGAAAGGGGCAGAATCCCTCCATCTGCAACATCACTTCCTTTTGGCACAACGATGTCAACATTGGAGATGATCAAAAATGTCATGTCTTGGAGAAACATCATCATTGTAAGGTAATTCGAGTTTGGCAAACTACCTATCAGTCATCCCACAAAGTGTCACTTATTTTTTGATTTCTGATGATTTCCATACATGTCTATCTAGGTTTTCTTTACACAAACATATGGAAGTGGTTTGTCATCCCAGTTTAGCTCCTGGGATTTCATGGTGGTCTTCCATTCAAGTTCTTTACAGCCATCTCAGGATCCAGTGTTTTCATCTGAAGATGCTTTTTGCTGTTGCAATGTATATCCTTTCATGCAAGGCCACAATGCCACAAGAGGCAAAGTTCCTTTACATCCATTCCACAAAGTTTTGCAAGGGCTCACTAGGGTAAGTCCATTTGGCTTTTCAAGAACAGTGAAGATTGACCAGGTGTTGCCTTCTATACTTCAATATTAAACTTAAATTGATCTTCAGCTTTGGAAAATGATTTTACACAAATTGAACTAACCTGTTTGCAAAGGCCAAGTAGCTAAATTTTCAGACACACATGTTAATGTGCATTGATGCGTTCATGAGAGCAGTTTCATGGAGCATTCAGACATCAGTTATCTTTTAGTCATCAGCCCATGTTCTACATCAATTTTACACTTTGTTTCCCTTAATGAAGATAATCTATTTAGTTTATGTAGTGAATCACATGGACTCCATTTTTTATTTTTAAATTCATACTGAAATGAATGTATATATGTAAGAAAAAATGATAATTTTTATAATTTTACATATTATTATTTTAATAAATAATAATTTAAATAAAATATATAATTTAGTAAAGGAGTGACTTTTTTCCTAGGCTATGTAGAACCCTGAAAACAGTACAGCCACTTTAATGATCAGCAAAGAGATACTGAAAGTAGGTTCCAAGGGATCTTCAGATTATTTACCTCTACTATATTCTCTGCATGAGAGAGGAAAAAATTTGAAATGCTTGGATCTATCTCATATTTAGGAAAAAAAATCATCATCTAGTCCCTGAATAAATGATACTCTTCATGTTCACATTTATTCACTATAAGGTCTTTAAAGAAATACACAATTTCTAGCAATTGTTTCCCTCTATAAGTAGCCCTAGTAACAAATATGAAATAAGTATACTACAGAATCCACGCTTTCTCCATTAGTTCATATGACTCCGAGCCCTTGAAGTATGAACATTTCAATATCTACAATCCTCTGCCTTTTAAAGTGTTGTTTGTATTGCCACCACATTAATGTTGAATGAAAGTTTATATATCTAATTCTGGTCCTCTTGTGATATATGAAATATATGAAATTTTTAAAAGTGTCATTATTTTAAGGGACAACTTAATTTATAATAGATATGTAGCCTTTTTCTGGTTTTAAAGGCCATCTGGCCTTACTTAAGCCACAAAATATAATTTCCATTTCTCCAGGACAGTTTAGCTGCATAAAGTTGGCTTATTGCCCTCTGGAAGAGTCATTGATTAAATGCATCCCATCACGTTTTCCTAGCTATGTTGCTATTCTGTATAGATGTACCATTGCAATCTTAAAAGCCCAACCTGATTCCTAACCTTAAAACAAATGAAAAAGATTCACTTGGCCAGTAAAATATAATAGAATAGCCTTCAATGTTGAAGTTATACCTATGACAAATGCCGCTATCTATTTATCCTCAAATTATCTCTGGAAGTATTTATGTACTATGAAACATTTTGTATGAGCTAGACAGGAAGCTATAAAATATTTTATGAGAACGGCACATGGCTGATGGCAGAGTTTTAATGCAAACGTGGTCCCTTCTAAATCTGAAGCCTGCCAGAAAGGAATTCTTTCCACAGTAATCCTGCTTTGACCAAAGCCCCCCAAATCTAGAGACACTTCTTCCAATGAACAGCCTCCTGAGAATGTGAAGGAACATCACATTTGGCTGCTACGTATGGAAAAGAAAAACTAACTCTTTTGTGGTGCAAGGAGGAAAATAAGAAATTATTCTTCAGACAATTAAAAGAATAGAACTTTAATTTCTATTCAAATCCTTAAAGTTGAAAGGCAACTTCTAACAGATGAGAAAAGTTTTGAGTAAATAATATTCCATATATTTAGACGGGCTTGTTTTCCATGGACTTCCCCTCTTAATCTACATGCAATGAATGCAATCTTGAGTCTCCCCTAGACGGGTTATGATATATTGTAATATATTTCTGTAAATAATTGTTCCTACCCCACACCCACTTGTGTTACCGAGATATGGTTGAACAGGGAATAGTCCCTTTAAGGATTCACCTATTCAGATTACTGAACTGTCCTCTGACTGACAACTCTTGGGAAATACCATCACTATCTGATAAAGTTTGCGGACAGGTGAAGCTGTTTGAGAAGATCATTTGCTGCTGGTGCCACCACCTCCTGTAGCATATGAATAGAGGTCTCCTTGCCTTACAGAAATGGGTAGTATGGGGAAGTCTGTGCTCAATTTACCATTGGAGACTTTCTCTTTAAATATGGGATTCTGGTATTTAGTTTGGCCTCTGTAATTTTGTTCTGAAGTTGCTTTTAATTTGGTAATTGTATTTTAATGGTGGATTGTATTTATATCTGTTGTTTATTTTGGATCTTTCTTTCAGTATGTCCTTTTTGGAGAAGAAAATCAAAATCTAAATATTTATGTAAATATAAATAATATAAGAATATTCAAAATTAAGGAGGAACAGAAATAATATGAAGTAAGAATAAAAGAAATGGGAAAATATAGGAACTATACTATATTCAGTCATTCTGGGAATAAATCTAGACTGATCCAAGAAAATGAGACAAAATGTAGCTTGTTTTCCTTACAATTTTTTCATTTTGGCTTATAATTCTTGCTTTTTGGAGAAGAGAAAGGTTATTATATGGGTTTATTGAACAAACTAGATTTTATAAATAATTGCCTGTCAGACTGTTCAAGACAGACAAATATACAGCAGACCAACAAAAACATGATCTGTCATATTTCTAAGAGAAATATATGTTGATTTTTCATTCTCTGGGGTTGTAAGTGTACCAAGTAAGAAATAAATGGCAGTGCTTTTTCTGCTTATGCATTTTTTTAAAAAAACAAAGATACTTCTAGAGAAAGAATTTTTATTCCAGTATTCTTGGCCTAAAATGTTTTCTTTTTGCATATATGCCTGCAGATCGAAACCAAATACAATAAATGCTGGTGTCCTTTAAAAAGTCTGGATGTTTACAGCAAGCATATAATTTTCCATCATTATGGATGCCAAGAAAAATAAGAAATCATGATAAAAAGAAAGGTTTAATCATACATTTCAGCAAGCACAGACAGAACATCAGCAATGGGTTTTCTTCTTTACTGTATACACTATTTTTAGTTCTTTAACATCAGATCAATTCCAGAAAAATGACATGCAAAAATGTTTTTAAAGTATAATTATGCCACTATGGAAAGCATAATACTGAATATATCAATTGCAATAATTCAGTAAAGTAACCACATCTAAACATTGACTTCTAAAGAGATTGATCCGTATAAGGCTGGTTATAGTGAATGTCCAGTATTTGGACTCTTTAAGTCCTTGGCTCTTATGATTAGCTCTACAGCAGCAACTTTTGGCAATGAGTCCGTCCTGCAGGGTTTAATGAAAACATTACATGAGATCCCATTCAAAAATGATGGCCACATTCAGACCTCATCATAGAATTGTGAAAGCTTTCCTAAAGTTTTAATAAAAAATGAAAATGAATATAGTCTTGTATAGATCTTGAACAAAAACAGAACACTGAAATTAGTTTGCAATTGAAAGGAATCCTTCTTGGATTGAGTAACATACCAAGCGAAGAAAAGACAAGGCATTAGGTGCTTCAAGAAAAAGAAAAGAAAGGGATATTGTAGTGTCATTTCTTTCAAAAAAAATTCAGATAAATGGATTCACAAAGCACTGGAAGCCTAGAAAAAGCATATAAGCCAATAATCCTGATGCAGTGGCAAAATGCTGTTTCCATATTTTCATTCCATAGAAAAAATTAGGATTACAATTTACTATCATGCTTATCTTAACAGAAAAATGCTTCCCATATAATTTTTGAGAAAGGCATTTGCATTGGGGGAATACAAATATATATTTCTGTGTAGAAATGGGCTTTCAATTAATATCCCAAAGTACAAAGAATTATCCCTGCGTTCAGCTTTTTACATGATTCACTAAATGACTGTGTTTTTTTCTGAGTGAAAGAGCCTCATTCTTGAACTACTCAGAATAGGATTTCTCCATAGTAGGCAATTATGCTCTGTCTCTGCAAAGTGACTGATTGAAAATGAGGCAAACAGAATAACAGAGTTGGAAGGAACCTTGGAGGTCTTCTAGTCCAACCCCTGCTCAGGCAGGAAACCCTATATCATTTCAGACAAATGGTTATCCTGTCTCTTCTTAAAAACTTCCAATATTGGAGCAAGAGCCATGGTGGCACAGTGATTAGAATGTAGTACTGCAGTCTACTCTGCTGACGGCCAGCTGCCAGCAGTTTGGCAATTCAATTCTCACTGGCTCAAGATTGACTCAGCCTTCAATCCTTCTGAGGTGAGTAAAATGAAGACCCAAGGGGCAATATGGACTCTGTAAACCACTTAGAAAGGACTGTAAAGCATTGTGAAGTGGTATATAAGTTTAAGTGCAATTGCTATTCCCAACTTTTGGAGGCAAGTTGTTCCACTGATTAACGGTCCTAACTATCAAGAAATTTCTCCTTAGTTCTAGGTTGCTTCTCTCCTTGATTAGTTTCCATCCATTGCTTCCTGTCCTGCCTTCAGGTGCTTTTCATATCTGGTGCACAGATGGGCTGGAAACGCTTACATTTGCATGACATCACTTGCTGGTGCAATTGTTGGCACCCGTAGGAGACTGTCATAGCATATAGTTTTGGCATTGCTATTTTTCAAAAATCCAGTTTGGAAGACCAATATTGGTATAGCATAGTTTAGTTGAACTCTAATGTTATATAACTATATTTAGATTGATTAAATCTAAAATAACATTATTTTCTGTTTCACAATTCCTCATCAGTCTATCAGTTTCCAAATTACACAAAATAACAATTGGCTTTTTAGATTTCTAAAAATCAACATTTCTCTAATTATTTTCCTGGTAAGGAGAAACAAATAAGGCAATTAGCAGTTTGATGTAAATACAGCTTCTTTTAACTTTCTTATAAAGGTGATGAGTTTGTTCTTGAGGACTGATACTGTAATAATTTTGAGAAGGAGGGTAAACTTCAGAACTGTGCAATTTACCATAACATACCAAACATCCTGCCATTAATTAGCTAAATGCTACATTTGGAAATCAGGAGTAATGACTGAGGGGGTAGGAAAAGAGAGACAGAAGCAGCCAGTTGATAGTCACAACAAACCAGCCCACTCACAAGTATACTTGCAAATGCCGAATTGGCTTGGGAAAAAAAAAATCACCTTAATATAACACTGTCTTTCCTGTTGCTGTAGGCACATCCATATTAGCAAGCCAGAAAAGTCATCCCATTTCTGCGGTAGGCGCTCTGTCAAAGAAAGAAAATCTGCAATGAATTATCACATCAACTTAAACAAGAAAAAATAGGCAGAGAGCAGAGCAAGACTTTCTTCCTGTTTGTAGACTATTCTGGCTGCAATCTAATAGCAAACTTAATCTTAACATTTCTGGTGGGGAAGCATTAAGCAACCACTTTTTCTATTAAAAGCTCAGTGTGGTTAGAAGCGGTTAGTGATTCTATTTCAGGACATGTGCAAAATTATGACATCCTATTTTGTTAATTACCTAATACATAAGCAATTGGTGGTCAAAACTACTATTATTTCAACATTCTCATTTTTTTTAATAAATATATCCTAAATCTCATCACCATTTAGAAAATTCACTTCTGCCTTTACCTATAATAAATAAATGACTGCAATATTTTAAATTTCTCTCATGAGGATTTTACAGGCTAGGCTCATTACAATGTACATCCAATCAACCTTTACTTCACCTCCCATTAAGTCAGTTTTCTGACACTGCAGTATCAACGGGTTTGAAAAAGAGGCTCAAACAACTGAAGGTTATGAGAGGAAAAATAACAAAAAATCACTTTGTATTTTAGGTGGCTCAAGACTGTCAAGGCTTTCCTGTCAGGGGCTTTATACATATTTTGAGACATTCTAGAACCATTGTTGTGAATTATCCTAGTGATATCAGTGTAATGTTTATAACACATTTGTTTCACGCACAAACTCTGCTTTAAAGACCTACTATTTTAAATCCACTGAATTCTAATCAATGCTGCCATTCATCTTCAACTGAGTGCATTCTGGTAAATTTTGCAAATCTGCTTATTTCTTTTATATTCCTAATATGGACATCATCAGAAATCCCCCCCCCTCTTTTTCTTCCTTTTGCATACATGTGAATGCAAGCATGCACACACAAATATACCAAGTAGGACTGATACAAATAATCGAAACTGGTAGATATTAACATGATTCTACTCTGATTTTCCAATTATAAGAGCTTCTAAAACAGCTTACAACAAATAATTCTAATCTACCGGTAAATTGATTATCCTGAATTAAATGAATCAGAATCAAGCCAAACACGGAAAAGCAATTGTTTACATTACAAAGATATATTAATGCTGAGTGATACAGTATATGTGTGATATCATGTAGCAGAATAAGAAATCAAGCTAGCTAGGAACATTTCATTCAATACCAAAACTGAAACTTCAGCTAACCTCTAGAAATTTTTTTTTTTAAAAAAAGCCAAGCGAATTTGTAGGGGACAGAATTTCAGAACTGAACAAATCTTTAGTAACTACAACTAATTTGACAAAGGAGGGACACCCAGAAGAAAAGCTTCTATGGCAGGCAGATTCAAATTGGAGTAGACAATCCTTAGATGTTTTGACTTTGAAAAACCAGGATTTTCAACTAAAAATTTAAATAAATTTTTAAAGACAGCTCAAGACTGGATATTTTCAAAACAACGTAGCTGAACTTTTTCGGAAAATGAGAAAAGGAATTGGTGTATCAACTGAAGTACGGTATTAGATACCATGGATACTACTACTGCATCAATTATTAAATACTTTAATATACTTTAATCTTTACTGTGAATCACAAACTTAGAAAGCAGTACACTTTCATTCATATAAATCTATGTATGAAAACAAATGAATACATTTAGGTATTGATGTCAAACATCTAATTCTCATGCAGCAGTCTTGGTAACTTGAGTCAAACCAATGCCCTCATCATTGAATATTTCATTTAGTTATAATCATTTTTATATCACCTAGTCCAAAAGATTGTAGGTAAATAGTGTAAAAACACTATTGTTAGGTTCCAGAATATGTTGGCATAACAACATTTTGATCAAGGAGAATATTTGTAGTTCAGGATTGAAATAAGGAGTCCTTGGTGCTCTCTGAGCTTCGTTGTTTTCTTGTAATAATAATAATAATAATAATAATAATAATAATAATAATAATAATAATAATAATAATAATAATAATAATTTTATTTCTATACCACCCTTCTCCCGAAGGACTCAGGGCAGTGTACAGCCTATTAAAAGCACAAAGACAAACAACAGTTAAAATAATTTAAAATTATTAAATAATTTTGGCTCAATATTAAAACCCCCAAAAATTTAAAACATCCAAATTAAAATCATTACATTGATAGCCCGGCCTGGCGGAACAGCAGGGTCTTAAGGGCAAAGTGAAATAACCTGAGGTCGGAGATTTTACGCATTTCCGGGGGCAGTTCATTCCACAGGGCTGGGGCTCCCACAAAGAAGGCCCTCCCCTGGGTGTCGCCAGCCGATATAACTTGGCCGATGGCACCCTGAGGAGACCCTCTCTGTGGGAGCGAACTGGCCAGTGGGAGGCTACTGGTGGCAGAAGTCGGTCTCGAAGGTACCCGGATCCTATGCCATGGAGCGCTTTAAAGGTGGTAACCAACACCTTGAATCGCACCCAGAAGACCACTGGGAGCCAGTGAAGCTCTCACAGGAGGGGTGTCACATGGGCACAACAGGTTGCGCCCATAACCACCCGCGCGGCCGCATTCTGGACCAGTTGGCGCCTCCGAGTGCTCTTCAAGGGAGCCCTATGTAGAGAGCATTACAATACTCCAGCTGGGAGGTGACAAGGGCATGAGTGACCGTGCGCAAGGCGTCCCGGTCCAGAAAGGGCTGCAACTGGCGAATCAGGCGAACCTGATAAAAAGCCCCCCTGGCCACGGCCGTCATATGCTCTTCAAAAGACAGCCGTGCGTCCAGGAGGACACCCAGATTGCGAGCCCTCTCTGTGGGGGGCAGCAATTCATCCCCAATAGTCAGTGATGGCACCAGCTGACTATATTAGGATGCCGGAAGCCACAGCCACTCGGTCTTGGATGGGGTATTTCTCCCCATCCAGACCCGCACGGCCTCCAGGCAGCGAGACATCACATCAAGGGCATCGTTGGGGTGGTCTGGGGTGGAGATGTACAGCTGGGTGTCATCAGCATACTGATGGACTCTCACCCCAAAACCACGGATGACATTTCATTATGCTGTGCACTGATGCTGTTAACCTTATTTGGGTAATGATCCACTCAAATTATTTGATCCAATCTAAATCTAAAATTTCTTTGTGTGGGACAAAGATCAGAAATAGGGAATGCTCTAATTTTATTCTCATTCAATTTTAACAACAACTATTCTCATACAATTATAACAACTGCTATATCTACCATGTTTTGGATATTAATGATCAGAACATTATTATCTCCTGCATCTAAAGTCACAATACTGTTCTCTGTAGCAATGTTGTAGACCAGGGCTGTTAAACTCCCGGCCTGCAGGCCAGATGCGTCACATGCTGGCCACGCCCACGCCTGGTTTAGTGAAGGGGAAAAAATACATCATGTGACGTCGCCATGACGACATGAGTTTGACACCCCTGCTGTAGACCAAAGGATAATTCAAATTAAATATGCCACAAGAAAGTTGGGAATCTTTTCTATTTTGAAGATAGAAGTTTCCATTATTACCATTATTTTACAATTTTAAAAGCCTTCATAGTTGAATCATGCAAAGTTTTCTGAAATTCCAGATCCTAAAAATCTACATCTCAACCCAGACAATTCAATTAATTCTTCTCTCACAGACTCTTAATCATCAGTAAATACATCCATAAAACTGGTCTTCAAATTCTCAGATCTTCCAGATATTGCTGAACTATATTTCCAAGCAGGCTCAGACAGTAGGGTTGACGGTTAGTAATGCTGGGATTTGTAGTCCAATGAATATATGCAGAGTTACATATACCTCATGTAGGGAGCTACGATTCCCTAGAATTTCTAATATTCACAAATATTAATTATAAAAACAGTTTTACACATTGCTGTAGAGACACATCTACAGAGAGACTTCCTGAACCTGTTTCTGAAAACTATTCTCTCTCTCTAAAAAAAAAATTATTTCAAATTTTGACATGACTTTTTTCCTGCTTTTGGGAGCCAATGAATGAATAACATTGAAAATTCGCTCTTAGAGGTTTTAATGTACATTTATCTAGAAGAAATGTCCTACCTTTTCCTCTCTTATACAAAGGCTTACACTGGAATGTGCTACAAAATGAAGAATATTACTCTGAACTTAAAAAATACTTTCAAATAAAACATTAGGTAATGTCATGAGAATGAATAGCTCAAAATGAAATATTCTAACTAAAGCCAGGTATGGACCATATAAACAAAAGAGCCATATATCCAAAGATGTGGATATTGCTTAAGCAACTAGAATCTATGCTTAGAATTTCAGGTAAAAAATAGTATTTTCCTTTCCCTCAAGACACTCTAACAGATTTATAACACAGCAAAACCTTTAATACTCTAATTCAACACTGAAGGTTACTGTGAAACATCTATGAAGATATAATTTAAATTATATCTTCATATACATTTCACAGTTTGAATAGTTGCTTTTTCACTAATTTGAGAAAAGAGATGTAGCAACTACAGATACTGTGATTAAGTTTGACTCAGAGAATATAGGGGGAAAAATAAAATCTAGTTATCTTTCTCTTCTGCTCTCTGCCTTCAACATTCAATTGCATATTTCAGCCAAAACAGAAATAGTTTTTTTTTTTAGTCTTTGCAGATAATCACTTACTGAAGCAGACCAATTTGGAAATGAACAGAAATAACAAAAACCACTTAAAGGAGAGGAGGGAAGTAGGAGAGGAAGAAATGGTGTTGATGGCAAACAGCATTTTCCCTTCTAAGGGCTTGCTTGATATATTTTGCTCTCTGAATAGAGTAGCAAATGACACCACAAAGCAAGTTCTATAATAACAAATGTTAACCAAGTTATTTTGTGATATGAAGCAGAACATCCCCTATGCCCCTCTCTCATCTTCAACAATAAAAACAAAACAATAACAAAGTAAATAGCTAATCATTGCAATCCTTCCATTACATTCATATCTGCTGCCAGGTATAATCATAATTACAACACTTTCTACTGACAAGTAAT